TGGAACTCACTATGTAGACCAGGCTGGCCTTGAACTCACAGAGATCTGCCTGCCTCTGCCTCCCAAGTGCTGGGACCACAGGTGTGCACCACCATGCCCAGCAAGTTTATGGCTCTTACTCAACCATAAGCCTAAAAGAAATTAAATGTAAAATATAACAAAACCAAAAAAATTTGAGATGACAAATACTAATTTGACAGATGGTAATGTTTAGCTGAAATTAAATTGTTGACAGAACTGAATGTGGTGGTACATATCTGTAATTTTAGCATTTGAGATGCTGAGACAGGAAGATTGCTATAAGTTCAAGGTCAACCTGGGCTACATAGTGAGTTCCTAGTCAGCTTAAGATGTAGATTGAGACCTAGTCAAGAAAGAAAGGGGCTAGTAAGATAGCTAAGTGGGTAAAGGCACTTGCTGACAGCCTGAGTTTGACACCCACAGCCCATGTGTTGGAAGGAGAGAACTGACTTCCAGAAGTTGTTCCCTGACCCACAGCTGCACTGGGGCACCCACATACCCACACATGGACACAGGCATGCATACACACACACACACACACACACACACACTCACTCACTTACTCACAAATGTAATAAAAATAATTTTTTTAAATGAAAGTAATGAATCAATAAATATTAGAAATGAATCAGCTAAATGCAAGAAAATATAGAACTATAGCGGATAGATGCACTGCACCTGCTTCTAAGCCTGACAATTTGAGTTCCATGTCCAGGACCACATGGTGGAAGGAGAGAACTAATTCTGGCAAGTTGTCCTCTGACCTCCACATACCCAAACAAATGTAATAAAAAAGGGGGGGTGCGGCTAGAGAAAGGCTCAGCAGTTAAAAGCACTTGTCTAGGTTTGGTTCCCAGCACCTACATGGTGGCTCACCACAACCTGTAACTCCAGTTCCAGTGGGGAGGAGTGCCCTACACACATATGATGCACATAAACACATACACACATACATACATATAAAATAATTTTTGCCAGGGCTGGAGAGATGGCTCAGCGGTTAAGGGCACTGACTGCTATTGCAGAGGACCTGGGTTCGATTCCCAGCACCCACATGGCGTATATGAACCATCCTTAACTCCAGTTCCAGGGGAATCCAAAGTCCTCTTCTGACCTCTGCGGCATTGCACAACATGGGTACACTCACATACATGCAGGCAATACAGTCATACTCATAAAAATAATAGGGGCTGGAGAGATGGCTCAGCGGTTAAGAACACTGGTT